CGGTGCAGAGTGGGTGCAGAGGAGGAAACGGGGGCCCGGGAGGAAGGCCGGCGCCCAGGCCACGTGGAGGAAGCCACGCCCCCCAACCGTGTGGATTGGGGGGCAGGAGGGCAAAGGGGGCCCCCACGGTGTACGTCTAAGGGCTGGTTCTGAGCGCGGCCAGTATCGCGCCCCCTCCCCCCATCAGGGGACATGTGTCCATGTTCGGGGACGTTTTAAAAATATTTTTTTTTTTATTGATTTCAGAGCGAAAGGGAGAGAGAGAGAGAGAGAGAGAGAACCATCCATGATGAGAGAGAAACATCAACGTGGACCGGCTGCCTCCTGCACGCCCCCCACTTGGGGATCGAGCTGCAATCTGGGCCTGTGCCCCGACCGGAACCGAACCCTGACCTCCTGGTTCATAGGTGGATGCTCAGCCCCTGAGCCACGCGGCCGGCCCCTCTGTGGCAGCAGCCACCACACCCGAGTGGCGGTGTCCTTCGTGTCTGGTCCCCACGGGTCTGCGATGGTGCTGTGGGCAGAGACAGGGCCGTGGAGGCAGCCGCCCCCAAGCGCACAAGTCAGGGGCTCCCCTCACACCGGCCAGGGACCCCCCCAGCTTCCGAGAGGCCACACAGTAAGCATGTGAGACCATGGGCCAGTGGGGCTCCGTCAAAACTGACCATTCAGCCCCGGCCGGGCAGCTCAGTCGGTGAGAGGGTCCGTACGAAGCACCAAGCTTTCGGGTTCGATCCCCGGTCGGGGCACAGACAGGAATCCACCGACGAATGCATCCATCGGGAACAACAAATCAATGTTTCTCTCTCTCCCAAATCAATACATTAAAAAGAAAAAAAACTGCCCTGGCCGTGTGGCTCAGTGGCTAGCGTGTCAGCCTGCGGACCCACGGTTCCCGGGTTCGATTCTGGTCAAGGGCACAGACCTCGGTGGCAGGCTCCTCCCCGGCCCGGGCCCTGGTCGGGGCGCGTGCAGGAGGCAGCCCATCGATGTGTCTCTCTCACATCGATGTTTCTCTCTGTCTCTCCCTCTCCCTTCCACTCTCCCTAAAAATCAATGGAAAATACCCTTGGGGGAGGATTAGCAACAGCAACAACCTCGCCCTGGCCAGCGAGTGACAACCGGGTTCGACCCCAGGTGTAGCCTGTGATGTTCCCAGCGCAGTTCTGCCCCAGCCCCTCGGGGGGCCTCCCTCCCGGGCGGGTGACCCCAACGCTCTGATGTCTCCTCTGGAAACTCCTAGTCCTTTTTGAACAGGGGGCTCCTGTATTCCCTCCGCTCTGGGCCCCCCCAAATTACAGCCCATGGGACCCAAGGGGTTTGCACAGCAGGTCTCGCTGCAAAAGGGGTTTGCTGCTGGAGTCTCCCCGGGACCCCCGAGCTGTGTACACCTGGGGGGGGAGGCACCCCGAGGCAGGAGCTCTGGGGGTCCCCCCTGACCTCCCCCCCTTTTCCCTCCAGCGAGACCATCATGTTCCTGCACCAGATCTTCTACCAGGGCCTGAAGGCGCGGATTTCCAACTGGCCCACGCTGGTCCTGGGTGAGTCCCGGCCCCCCACCCGCGGGGTCCCCACTCCAGGGCCACCTTCCAGGGCGGGGCACGCCCCTCCTTCCGGGGGGACACCCAGCAGCCCCTGAGGAGCCCCCGGAAGCCCTGAGAGGGATCCGGGAGGACAGACAAGTCCGACAGAAGGAGCTGTTACTGGAGGAGGTGACATAGCCTTTGTTCTTTACCCACATCTCCCGTTTATAAATAGCTAGAGGCCCGGTGCATGAATTCGTGCACGGGTGGGGTCCCTCGGCCTGGCCGATGATCGAGGCCTATTGGGGGGCTGGCCAGCCTGGGGGAGGGGCCGTGGGAGGTTGGCTGTGGGAGCGCACTGACCACCAGGGGGCAGCTCCTGCATTGAGCATGTGCCCCCTGGTGGTCAGTGCACGTCATAGCGACTAATCGACCAGTCATTCCGGTCATACAGTCGTAATGGTCGCTTAGGCTTTTATATATAGAGATGTCCGTGTGCCCGTGGGAGAAAACTCAAGAATCCCCAAAACAGGAGGAGACATTTAAAAATGCCCCCCGTGGCTCTGCCTCCCAGGACCCCACTGTACACGGGGTTTCCTTCCAGCATCTCTCTGTGTGTGGGTCTCAGGGTGGTTTCCTACCCCCCGCCCCCCGTTTTGCGTGATTGTGAACGCACTGCATACAGGATTCGGGTCTTGCTGTGGGCGTTTGCAACGGATCTGTGTGCTGCCGGAGGCGGGGTGCACAGCCCCTCAGGGGGCCTCCCTACACGTGTCCCCCGGGGGCACATGTCAGACTTGACAGGGCCCAGCTCTCAAAATACGATGTGCTCAGTGGTTAGAGCACCGGCCTGTGGACTGAAGGGTCCCAGGTTCGATTCCAGTCACGGGCGCTTGCCTCGGTGGCAGGCTTGATCCCCGGCCCTGATCGGGGCGGGTGTGGGAGGCAACCAATTGATATGTCTCTCTCCCATCGATGTTCCTCTCTCTCCCCTTCCCTTCCCTTCCACTCTCTCTTAAATATCAATGGGGGAGGATTAACAAAAAAATATCTGAGACTCTGATGGGACCCCTACGTCGGGGGCCTCCTCCCTGGCCAGCGTCCCCTCCAAAGGCAGGGTCTCTCTGGGGAGAGGGGCCTAGGGCACTTGTCTGTCTCCATAGCGACTAATCGACCAGTCATTCCGGTCATACAGTCGTAATGGTCGCTTAGGCTTTTATATATAGAGATGTCCGTGTGCCCGTGGGAGAAAACTCAAGAATCCCCAAAACAGGAGGAGACATTTAAAAATGCCCCCCGTGGCTCTGCCTCCCAGGACCCCACTGTACACGGGGTTTCCTTCCAGCGTCTCTCTGTGCGTGGGTCTCAGGATTGTTGTCCCCCCCTGCCCCCCTCCGTTTTGCGTGATTGTGAACGCACTGCATATAGGATTCAGGTCTTGCTGCGGGCATTTGTAACGGGTCTGTGAGGTGGGGTGCACAGCACAGCACAGCACCCCCTACACTTGTCCCCCGGGGCACGTGTCAGACTCGACAGGGCACAGCTCTCAAAATACGGTGTTGCTCAGTGGTTAGAGCACCGGCCCGTGGACCGAAGGGTCCCGGGTTCAATTCCAGTCACGGGCATGTGCCTTCGTGGCAGGCTCAATCCCCGGCCCTGGTCGGGGCGGGTGCGGGAGGCAACCAATCGATGTGTCTCTCTCCCATCGCTTGCCTCGGTGGCAGGCTTGATCCCCGGCCCTGATCGGGGCGGGTGTGGGAGGCAACCAATTGATATGTCTCTCTCCCATCGATGTTCCTCTCTCTCCCCTTCCCTTCCCTTCCACTCTCTCTTAAATATCAATGGGGGAGGATTAACAAAAAAATATCTGAGACTCTGATGGGACCCCTACGTCGGGGGCCTCCTCCCTGGCCAGCGTCCCCTCCAAAGGCAGGGTCTCTCTGGGGAGAGGGGCCTAGGGCACTTGTCTGTCTC